GGTAAGATCCCCCTGGGTTGCCACCCCTCCTCTGCACCTACCACTTCCTCTCTGTGGCATAGGGCACCTGGACATGGCCCAGGGCCAAGTTCTGGATACATTCAAAGAGCACTATCAATGGATCTCACAGCTGTGAGCAGAGTGAGATTCGAGGAGGTTGGAGGCAGAGTAGGTTTGCCTCTACCGTATTTCTCCTCATATGAAGCTCTGACGAGATGCTTCCTGGGGAGCCTTCAATCTCTGAGACAATCCAGGAGACCCATTTTCTTTTTCTAAGCCTACATCACAATGAAGTTTTACAGGTCACACTGGAAGGTAGGGAAGGTGTAAGAATGAACTTGATGAGCAGAGGTATAGCTTAGTGGGGGAGTGGGTGTTTAGCATGCTTGCAGCGCTGGGTTCAGTGCCTAGTACAAACACAAACAAAAGAAATAAAAGTACCACAAGGAGGAAGAAAGAGCTTGGGAAGAGATTGTAAAACCTACCTTGCCCACCTGGCACAAAAACTGGCCAAAGAGCTAAGTTCTTGCTACTCGAAGGGTATGCTAATGTATTGCAAATTTAGGTACCAATCTAGAGCTCATTAAAATATAGAATTATCAAGCCCATCTCCAATCTCCTGAACAGGGACTTACATTTTTTGTTTGTTTTGTCTTGTGATCTGTAGATGATACAAAAGGTAGAATCATCCCCCGACTAGCTGATTTAAGGAGCTATTAAAGACATTTTTCTTGGGGCTGGGAAGGTGGCTCAGTGGTAGAGCACTTGCCTTGCATGCTCGAGGCCCTGGGTTTGATTCCTCAGCCCCACATAAGCAAAAAGAAAAAAGCCAGAAGTGGCTGTGTGGCTCAAGTGGTAGAGTGCTAGCCTTGAGCTGAAGAGCTGAGGGACAGCGCCCAGGCCCAGAGTTCAGGCCCCAGGACCGGACCAAAAAAAAAAAAAAGACATTTTTCTCTCCTTTCTCCTTTTGGAAATACAAAATCGGAGGATTTTCTTTTGATAACCAATAATGTTGCTCCTCTCCTGTTCTACCAGTGCCTCAGGGTACTTAGCTTAATGGTTAAGGGTGCTTAACGGTTAAGAGCATAGACTCCAGAGTTAGAGAGACCTAATGCTTGTGCTGCCAATTCTGGTGATTATAATCTTAGTCAAGGCACTGAGTTTGTAGGCCTCAGTTTTCAAATCTTTCTCAGGAGAAAAGTACAGCGAGTAGCAGATGAAACACAAAGCTCTTCCCAAAACAAGCAGGAGTGGGAGCAGGCAGAGTTCCACTGCTATGAGAGCAGTGGGGTTAGGGGCTGGCTATGAGGCTCCTGACCTTTGTTTGGCTCTGGTTCCTGGCACTGTCAGGCCTGAAGATGGTAAGTTCCTGGCAGGCTAGGCTCCCAGGAAACAGTTTGAGTAATCCTGTGATTACTCAGCTCCCCCTCCCCATGTGGGTTCCCACCACCTGCTGCTCAAGGACTGGTTCATGGGGCAGGTCTTGAAGGTGGATTAACGGAGGTGTTTCTCAGCATCTCATACTCCCATCCCCCAAGTCCCCATCTTTTCCCCTCCCCACCGCCCTCCACTAGCTCTCTTGAGTACCGGTACTTTCTCTTTGAGGTTTGGGGTGGATGTCATTGAAGGGGATGCAGGTGGCAGGGGAAGGAGAAAGAGTAGGACAAGAAGCCTGGTAATTCTGAGGGTTGGACATAGGACCAGGACATAAGCATATGCATTCCTACATTCCTGCCTCTGTCTCTCCTTTCCTAGGGCTGTCTCTATTTTCACCTAGTCCTGAACCTCTTAGTCCCTCCAGCTCGGAGAAGCTAGAGGGTCTGACCTTGAGAGTCTCTGATTCTGTGTTCCTGTCACTGTATTCTTCTGCCTTGGATTATGGTTGAGGGAGGTGGGGAAGGGGCTAGCCTAGAGGCTGAGGTCCAAGGCTCTAGATCTCCCAAATATGGTATTTGTGAAAGAGGTCCTTGGCTGGTTACCTCTTCATATGAAAAGGGCAAGCTTTTGGTGACACTGTGGCGAGGTCCCTAAGGCCAGGACCAGCAGTGGGTCAGCTGTGGGGCAGGGAGATGTGTCTAGGGTTACCCATGTGGTCAGTGCATACACGCACACGGATGTGGCTCTTGGAGAAGGGGAGAGGCAGGGAGGCCTGTGGTCGGCTGCTGGGCCAGAGCCCAAGTTCCCACTGTGGCTTGGCCTAATCTCCCTCTTGCTTGTTTTTTGGGGTGACCAATGTTGTCTACCCCCCTTCTTCTGGTCTTAGGGCCACTGAGGAGAGATATTACCAAAACAGAGGGGAAGATATTGGGTGAGAACAGAGCCTGTGGGGCCCAAAGGCTTCTCTAGGCCTGGCCATGTCCACAGCTTCTTTACTTCTCCTGGGTCAGCAGCTACTGCCACTCATGGTGCTCTGCCCCTATGTGGTGCTATACTGGTAATGTCATCTAATGTGAGTCTGTGTGACCTACAGTCACTCATAGGCAATTTTACTTTTATTCTCATCTCACTGCTAAGAGAACTGAGGTAGACAGAATCTGACTAGAAGCATGAGAGTCCTCATACTTTCTACCCTTCTTCCTAACTCTAGTCTCTCCCCTCTTATTCTCTCTTCCCTTGTGTGCATTGACCTCTATTTATAATTTACTAGAAAGAATAAAAAATTCACTTGTCATTTGGTCCTGGGGTGACCACAGCTTACTATGTGGGTGCTAGGTGGCAAGTATGAGTAGAGGTGGGGGAAAGAATCAAGTCCTGATGGAAGGATTTCAGAACACCTTTAGCCATAAGGAAGCAACTACTTAACCTGACTCAGTCCAAGGCTGGCCTGAGAGGATGATACTTTAAAGATGGTGAAAATAAGATTTCAGGGCATGGTAAGCAAGTCATGGTCTCCCTGTCTACCCTATATAAGCAGGTCTTGCATATGACCAGGGCAGGCCTGAGGTTGGAAGTGAGCTCTTCAGAATGTAGATTTGCCCTCCAAAGGGCAAAAATTCTTCTCTCCCTAGGGTGGAAGACCTGTCACAGGTAAGAAGAAGCTTTAGAGCTGGGTGCTGGTGGTTCATGCCTGTAATCCTAGCTACTCAGGAAGCTGAGATATGAGGATCACGATTCAAAGCCAACCTGCACAAGAAAGTTCGTGACTCTTACCTCCAAGTTACCACCAGAAAACTGGAAGTGGCACTGTGGGCTAAGTGGTAGAGCATTAGCCTTGAGCAAAAAAGCTCAGGGACAGTGCCCAAGTCCTGAGTTCAAGCCTCACAACTGACAAAAAATATAAAATAAAATAAAGAGGCTTTGGCCACAGGATGATTTTTATGGCCTCCTCCTCTCCTAGCCTCCCTTTCAGAGGGAAAACCAACCAACCAGTGATGGTGGGAAAGAGACCCATAGGTCCTTGGAAGTGCTAAAAAAGACCTGGAGTGGCTTGGGATCCCAGACCTTAAAACTACAGAGAGCTGTGAGCACTGACAGGGACTAGGCAAAGAACAGGAGATGAATTTGGGGCCAGCAAGCAAGCAACAGAGGTATAAGCAGGTACATCTTACAATGCACTTAATGGGAACAAGACCCTGGGTACTAGTGCCCAATGAGCAAGCTTTAATACACAAACGTGCCCCATGTACACTGGTGCAAGCAGACATGCCATTGGCCCACAGCCAAGGTGTACATACACAGAAAGAATGCTCATAAACATGCTTAGTGGGCTGTGGTGTAGCTCAAATGTAAAATGTTTGCCTAGCAAGTGCAACATACTGGGTTCAATCCCCAGTACCAAAAAAGAAAAGACAAAAAAAAAAAAAAATAGTGATCTGTGACTCGAGAAGTCATTCATTCAGAGCAGCACAATAGGTTGGGCACCAAGGGTTCAGCCATATAATCCTAGCTACTCAGGAGGCTGAGCCCTAAGGATTGCAGTTCAAAACTAGGCAGACGAAACTAGGGAGACAAAAGTAGGCAGACAAATGAGAGACACTTGTCTCCAATTAACCAGCAAAAAGCTGGCACTAGAGGCATGTGGTAGAATGTTAGCCATGAGTGAAAAGTCTGCGTGAGAGCATGAGGCTCTGTTCTGAGTTCAAACCCAATACTGGCACAAAAACAAAACCAAGCAAACAAAAACAATAGCTTATTGGAAAGAAACTAGCTGTGTGAACCTGAGCCTTCTCAGACATTGTCCTTCATCTTCCAAGTGAGCTGGTGAATAAGATGGTCTCTAGTCTCAACCAGTGCTCACACAGGTGGACAAATGCCTTGTATTTTCTCTAACATTGATACATACAGAGTCACCTTCTGTCCACTCAGGCCAAGAGCCTAGAGTCTCTCCCTGGCACCCAACAAAGCTGGCTTGTGGAGTCCCACTCTCCTGGACTTCATCTGGGGCTTCTTCCTAGGTTCTCTGCCCCCTACTCTTTGAGTCCCTCTCTTGATTCCTGCTTCTGTGCAGCTCTCCCCAAGCCTTTTCTGTCTGGCTGAGAATGGCTGGTATCTTTACCTAGCCCCCAGTTGTATCCTGTATGATGTACTCCATCTTCCTGCCATGCCCCACACTCTGCCCATGGGAACTGAGCCCCCAGTGGGGGAGGGAGCTACAAAGAAAGCCCCTTGGGCGGGAAGCAGGTGTTGTGAGGCAGTGAGGACTCGTATGGCCTGAGACAGGATAGGGGGGGCAGCTGGAGACATTCAACTGGAAGAGCTGAGCAGGTGGCTTTTCTGCAGCTGTTTTTTTGCCTCCATAAACCTGATAGGACTCCCGGCTGCCCCCACTCTGCCGGCTCCTTGTCAGTGGGGGGAGGCGGGGAAGAAGGCCTCAGATCCTTTACTGAGAAGCATTTGCCACTTTACTTCTTCCATTTTACAAGAGGGAAATATCTGGAGCTGCCTGGAGAAGTCAGGGAAGGAAGGGGCACCTGTAGCCCAGGTACATAGTGGTAGAATGTAAATGAAAAAAAAACAAAAAAAGTATCTTGGTCTGATGTGTGTCTCTTTACCCCTGCTAGCTCAAATTGAAGTGATCCCTTGCAAAATCTGTGGGGACAAGTCTTCTGGAATCCACTACGGGGTTATCACCTGTGAGGGGTGCAAGGTAAGTTGTGCATGGGTATGCACACTCCTCTTGAGAGCTGGAGGCCAAGGTCTTAATGGTCAACTGAGGCAGCTAGGGAGCTTCCCAGTGGTGTTTCCCTGCAAGGAACTGAATAAATTACACAAGAGGGAGGTGAGCCAGCGCAGGAAGCTCATGCCTGTAATCCTATAAATTTAGGAGGCTGAGATCTGAGGATTGTGATTCAAAGCCAGCTTGGGCAGGGAAGTCCGTGAAGCTCTTACCTCCAGAAGTGAAGCTGTGGCTCAAGTGGTAGAGTGCTAGCCTTGAGCAAAAGAGTTCAGAGGGACAGTGCTCAGGCCCTGAGTTCAAACTACTGGAATGGCATTTAAGAAGGAAGGAAGGAAGGAACGAAGGAAGGAAGGAAGGAATGAAGGAAGGAAGGAAGGAAGGAAGGAAAGGAGGGAGGGAGGGAGGGAGGGAGGGAGGGAGGGAGGGAGGGAAGGGAAGATGGTGAGAAGACTGAGGATGGGAGGATGGATGGCTAAAGGATGTGAAAAAGCTGGATCAGGACCACCCTGGGCCTGGACAGGGTAAGCAGCCTTGACCTCCCCCATGCCTTCCCCAGGGCTTCTTCCGTCGGAGCCAGCAGTGTAATGTGGCCTACTCCTGCACCCGTCAGCAGAATTGCCCCATCGACCGCACCAGCCGTAACCGATGCCAGCACTGCCGTCTGCAGAAGTGCCTAGCACTGGGCATGTCCCGAGATGGTGAGCCCAAACAGACTTCTCTGGGGGGATTTTCTTGCAATCTGTAGAGGGATAGCTAGGCCTACCGTGCCAGATGGATTGGCCTGCAAAATGCCCTTCCTGAGACCTCCTTCCATTTCTCCTCTTGACAGCCCCTTGTCTCTTCCCTTTGGAGTCAGTCCTTTAAAGCTCTTCAGAGTCCCCAACTTGAGGTTCTGTCCCAACAATCCTTTCTCAAGATCCCAGTCCTCTCATCTCTTCTTCCTGAGATGAATTCTCTTCACACTACTTCCCTCTTGCCCAGCTCTCATCTAGTGTCCGTGTCTTTCCCTTCTGACTGTGGTTTACGTCTGTGAAGACCTAGTTTACCTCCATCTTCCTCCCTGAATTCCACCCCCCACCCCGGCCCCACAAATTCCACTCAAGGACATGGGACTAAGGCGAAGAATGGGAGCAGAATTAGCCTAAGGAAGACCCAGAAGGAGGGGTAGGGGGACAGATGCTCCCAGGGTCTTCACCCACCACCTTCTCACCAGTCCCCTCAGGTCCCCCACCACTGAGGAGCTGGGGGAGGGGGGGCACTAGGTGATGAGGATGCAGAAGGAGCCTGTCAGCACTTTTCAGTGCTCAAAATAACAAAGCGAAAGGAAACATGCAGGGGTGCAAAGGGGCAGGCAGGGTGAGGGGCTGTGCCCCCACACCTGGGAGGGGGAGCGGGGTGGGGGTGAGTAAAAGGCAGGAAAGAGAGAGCAGAAGAGGATGTTCAGAAGCAAGCCACGGAGCCTGGGTTGGGCTGTGGTGAGTATCTAGGTCACCAGGGAGCCTGCAGGCCTGACCACAGGGAGACCTGTGTTCTCAGCCCTCCTCTTCCTCCGGCCCTCCCAGACAGGCATGCTGACCCCAATACAGCCTGAGGCCTCCCCCTACCTGACACCTCCCCCCCCCCAATCTCAGAAAGCCAGAATCCCCTACCCAGGTTCATTGTTTGAATTCTGCCACTATTAGAAGCTAGTTGAACATCCATACGATTTTGTTCAGGAAATGGAAATGGCAGGTCAGGTATATCCTGAAGGGTTTCAGAGTGAGGGGTGGGAGGAGACCTAAGTTCCCAAAGTAAAGGTTCTTGGGGAAGGCCAGAGAAGTTGGGCTTGGAGTCAGAGGGCAGTTGGTCCATCCTGGAATGATCCTTGTCTGCTGACCTTGCCCTGAGCCTTGCATGTTCTACCTCCTGAACTCCTGATCCCTTGGCCTCTTTCAGCTGTCAAGTTTGGCCGCATGTCCAAGAAGCAGAGAGACAGCCTGCATGCAGAAGTGCAGAAACAACTCCAGCAGCAGCAGCAGCAGCAGCAGCAGCAACAGGAACAAGTAGCCAAGACTCCTCCAGTAGGGGGCCATGGAGCAGATATCCTCACCTATACCTTGGGGCTCCCAGATGGCCAGCTGCCCCTCGGTGCCTCACCTGACCTGCCTGAAGCCTCTGCCTGTCCTCCTGGTCTCCTGAGAGCCTCAGGCTCTGGGCTGCCATATTCTAACAACTTGGCCAAGACAGAGCCCAAAGGGGCCTCCTGCCACCTTGAGTACAGCCCTCAGAGGGCCAAGGCTGAGACTAGAGAGAGCATCTCTAGCAGAAACAGCCAGATTACTCCTGGAAAATGTGGACTTCCTTTGGAGGGGCCCAGGCACTCTGGGTTTGGGGATCCAGGACAGGGTCCAGACAGCTACTGCAGCCCCAATATCTGCAGTACCCCAGAGGCACCGTATGCCTCTCTGACAGAGATAGGTAAGCACCGGGGAAAGCCAAGACAGTGGTGGAAATGAGGGAGGGTTAGTTACATCAACAAACATGAGCCTCAAGAAAGCAAGGGGTCCTGGACAAGGGGCCAAGACAGGCAGTAGACCCAGCAGGAAGCATCTTGTAAGTGGGGGTAGGAGCTGGCTGAGATTTGGTCATGCCTTTCTTCTCTGGCCCCAGAACATCTAGTACAGAATGTCTGCAAGTCCTACCGAGAGACATGTCAGTTGCGGCTGGAAGACCTACTACGGCAGCGTAATAACCTCTTCTCCCGGGAGGAGGTGACCAGCTATCAGAGAAAGGTAAGGCCAGAACATGTGGCAAGTGAGGATGTCCCATCACCATAGATGGATACCTGCACAGGCTTAGGGGCTAAAGGGAAAGAAGGCCAGATACTGCAGATAAACACAGGCTGCCCAACAAGTGTATGTACTGCTTTTGAGTGTGGTGTGTTTCTGCCTACACCCTAGCAGATGGATAAGAGCTTTCCCTTAGCCCCTGCTATTAAACTTCATTCAGCTTCCAACCTACTCCCCTACTATCTAGAACTTGATATACTCTCCCTTCTCTCTCCCTTCCTCCTCCTTTTCCTCTTCCTTTACCTTTTCGGTCAGTACTAGCTCTACTCAGAACCTGAGTTGTGTTATAGAGAATACCCTTTTTCTGCCAGGCACCATAATAAATGCCTTACATAGATTATCTTTGAGCCTTCAAATAACCAGACTACAAGAGTGGTATTTACTGCTGTATGGATTTAATCACAATCATAAAGTGACGGAAACAAAATCAAATTCAGATCCAATGGCTCTGACGATACCACTTACTCTAAAAAGCACTCGTTTGCACATCCCACTGACTTCTGAAGCTTACTAAGACCTTGGGTGTGTTTTGGGAGGAGATGAAGAGTAAGTAGGCTTTGAGGGTAAACCATACCTCATATGGTTTTTATTCCCCCACAACAGCTAATGCAGTGCACTTCAGGAAGTCTCTCCACCCCCCTGTAGCATAATCCTTAGTACCTAGTATTATAAGAGCTACATGGAATACTAGGCTACCAGGGAGAACATAGCTCGAGGTTAGGAAAAGTTGCCCTTTCATCTCTCCTCTGTTTCCTTTGTACTGAGATGGTAGATGCTCAATAAGTAGGATCACATGACAGGAATTGACTTGTGCCTTTGTGCTAATAAAGGTTTTGAATTTTTCCAGAACATGGGAGTTCAGAACCTACCACCTGCAATTTATTATATGGAACTCCTAGGGGCTTGGAGGGATCACAGAGCCACACAGGGCTACAGCAGATCTCCATTCTGTCCCTGCAGTCTATATGGGAGATGTGGGAGCGCTGTGCCCACCGCCTCACTGAAGCCATTCAGTATGTGGTCGAGTTTGCCAAGCGGCTCGCAGGCTTCATGGAGCTCTGCCAGAATGACCAGATCGTACTACTGAAAACAGGTGCCATGGGATAGGGAGGTAGACCTTGGGGAAAGGGGACAGAGCATGGAGCGGGAAAGGCCAAATGGAGGGAGGTGGCTTAAAGATATCAAGACACTGAGTGGGGCAGAAACAGGCTGCTGGCTTTGTTTCATGCTGTCCATCCATCTTTTCTTCCCTCTCACCAGGAGCAATGGAGGTTGTGCTGGTCAGGATGTGCCGGGCCTACAATGCTGATAATCATACAGTCTTTTTTGAAGGGAAATACGGTGGCATGGAGCTGTTTCGAGCCTTGGGTGAGGGGCAGTGGTGAATGAGAAGGAGGATTCTGATGCCAACCCCATGCAATGCTTTGTGATCCTTTTATATAGAACTGGCTGATCTTCCCCTCTGTTCCTAGCATCCAGAGGGCGGTGTCTTTGGGCACATGGTCTTATCTGCCTTGCTTATGCTTCTGCTTTCTACTCCATCAGGCTGCAATGAGCTCATCAGCTCCATCTTCGACTTCTCCCACTCCCTCAGTGCCTTGCGCTTTTCCGAGGATGAGATTGCCCTCTACACTGCCCTTGTTCTCATCAATGCCAGTGAGTGTGACTGGGCCTGACTTGGGAAAGGACATTCTGGAGGCTGAGGCACAGCAGATACTAAGTCTAGGCCTATGTATGTGGTTAAATCTAGGAGCTAGCAAGATGAGCCCTGCCCCATACTGCTATACAATCAAATCAGTTCAAATAAAGATGCCAAGGACCCTTGGAACAGGACAAAAACCAGCATTAGGTAGTGTGGTTGGAACAGGGAGAAGTGAGAGTCAGAGGAAATGAGCTACTTCCCTGATAGAAATTAGTCTGATGGTTGGTGACTCCTTTGTAGCATACATTGGAATTATCTGGGGAGCTCTAAAACCTATTGCTGCCTGGCTCTCACTTCCAGAGTTTCTGATGTAATTGGTCTGAGTTGCACTTGAATTTTTAATAGCCTCCTCCAGGCCATCAAGACTGAGAATCCCTGCTCTGTACAAGATCCTTTAAGACCGAATGCCTTCAATGGCATGGCTATGGGCATCCAACTCCACTGGACTAGAGTGGCTAGCTTGAGCCAGCTAAGCACTAAGTCTTCAGAGAACCTGCAGAAATAGGTCTGGCTGCCAACCTGGATTTTCATATCATTCTTCTAGCTCTGCCAATATGCTCCTTTCAGCTGGAAATTAAAGCTTTAAATGCAACTTCTTGGTATTTAAGGGAAACAGGTCAAAAGGTGGTTTGGGAGTTGAAGTGAGTCACATACTGCTGCAGAGGTCTGGAAAGGGCCTGAGTGGCTCCTATCAGAAGCCACTCACATAGGAGAGTTGGGAACTTCCTTCCTATTTTTATTTCCCCCTGTGGCAGAATGGGCTATGTGAAATACCAAGTTAACAGGGAGAAGGTAGCTTGAAGTTAGAAGATTAGAAGTTTCCAGCCCCTTCATTTCTCTCCAGTTTCCCTTGCAGACAACTAGGTCCCAGAGCTAATGGCTCCCAAACCAAGATACACATACACATACACACACACATGTACACACAGTTCAGAAGATCAGATATGTGAAAATACCCAACACATTCCTTTTGCTGTAGAATCCATGTTCTTTCTGTTCTCTCTTTGGTCCCATCCCTTCCTTCAGACAGACCAGGGCTCCAAGAGAAAAGGAAAGTGGAGCAGCTGCAGTACAATCTGGAGCTAGCCTTCCATCATCATCTCTGCAAGACCCATCGCCAAGGCATTCTGGCAAAGGTAGGAGCAATCTCAGGGGTAGAAAAGGCCAGGACCAATGACAGATCTGTGACATCAGGGTATGTAACACAGGGCTAGGATCTGAGGTTGCAAAGGAAGGACTGCTGAATGCCACATTATGCCAGAGAGCTTGCAACAGCAGTAGGGACTGAGGAAACAAGCAACTACTTCCATGTGTACAGAGCTGGAAAGTTAGAGTCTGGAATTAAAAGGAACCTCCAGGGAGCAATTCAGTTTAATATAGCCAACATTTACAAAACACCTGCTTGTATAAGGCACTGTGGAAAGATACAGATTCAGCTTTTGACCTCACCAAGATATTTTAGACTGGTATAAAGAGATTTGGTGTACCTTTTAATATACCCCTAATATAGAGTAGAATGTGATATGTGATGTTATAATAATGAGATTAACAAAGTGCTTTCACTAATATGTTCTGTCATCCTTGTGGCAACCCAGTCAATAAGGACAGGTGTTAAAAATCTTCCTGTAGCAATGACTTGTTTATGTGACTCAACTGATAAATGCACATTTTAATTCCAGTAGTTTTATTTTTTTGTCCCTTGTCTCTGTGTCCCCAGTATGCTGTTGTAAAAGCCTTTGGAAACAGGGACTAGAACAAGGATTCCAACAAGTTGAGTGCAAAAGGAGTGACACATAAATGCTTCCTAGAAAAGGTAGCACTTAACAAGGTCATATTAGAGATAAGGTTTTAACAGACCTCCGTGAGGGTGCGGCCGAAATTCCAGGCTTAGGGAATGATATGAGCAAAACTAAGAAGGCAAAGTAGTGTATAGTTGGGGAATAGCTGACAGTACTTTTTTAATAAAGTGTAAGTTCAGAAGATGGGATTGGGGACTGGGAAGGTGGCTCAGTGGTAGAGCACTTGCCTTGCATGCATTAGGCCCTGGGTTCGATTCCTCAGCACCACATAAGCAAAAAGAAAAAAGCTGGAAGTGGCGCTGTGGCTCAAGTGGTAGAGCACTAGCCTTGAGCTGAAGAGCTGAGGGACAGCGCCCAGGCCTAGAGTTCAGGCCCCACGACCGGACCAAAAAAAAAAAAGCAGAAGATGGGATTGATGAGGCTGAAGAATAGCCGAAGATAAGTCTGAAAATAGAGGAAAATCAGGGAGAATTTTCAGTGTCATAGAAAGAGTTAAGACTTTGTTTCTGGGCAGTGGGGAGTTCCGAAGCTAGGGAAATGCTACAATTAGAGGTGTTATTAGGCAATTTACTTGGGAAGCAATATGAGGATCCATTGGATAATCACTCAAACAGTCCTTTGCTACATGCTAGGCACAGCGCTAGTGTTGAAGATCCACATATGACTTTTGGGGCTGCATGCAAAAGACATTCACTTAGCTTCAGTTGGGTTTTTTTCTTTGTTTGTTTAACATATACATACTTTTACCAATGGGATTTGACTGATCCAAAGTGCCAAGTACCTAGAGCAAAAACAAGGAGAGGTCATACAGTCCGGCATAGGCAAGAGGACTTGTTTGCTCTGGGGAGAATGCTGACCGTTCTCTCCATTAACCCATCCCCAGCTGCCACCCAAAGGGAAGCTCCGGAGCCTGTGCAGTCAGCATGTAGAAAAACTACAGATCTTCCAACATCTCCACCCCATTGTGGTCCAAGCTGCTTTCCCTCCGCTCTACAAGGAACTCTTCAGCACTGAACTCGAGTCTCCTGAGGGGCTATCCAAGTGACCTGGAGAAGGGACACCTTTCCTCTCCTTTCAGCCTGCTGGCCCACCTCCCTGGACCCTGTTCCACCATCAGTCTTTTCCTTCCTATGCCTCCTGGAGGGTGGTCCTGCCTATGTCCTTGGGGTGAACAAATGCTAAGACTGGTTTTCTGCCTCCCAGGCTTGCCTAGTAGTGGATAGGGATGGAGAGAAGTCTTGCTCCACCTCACTTCCCAGAGCCTCTGCCCCAGCTTCTGGAAGGTGTGGGGTGAGGTAAGATATAAGAACCTCTAGGAGCACTAAGATGTCCTCAAGAATATAGGGAATGAATCCAAGCATCCTGGATGAAGAAGACTCAACTCTGGGCTCAAAAGCGAAGAACCAACCTTTGAAATACCTCATTGCATTTCCCCTTGAGCTTCAGCTAGGGGAAATGGATCAAGCTCAGAGACTGGTGGCAAGTGCCCAGAAGGACCTGTACATAACACGAATCTGGACCCTTAGATGTTTCCGCCTTTCTCCTTTCTCTCAGTACAGCAAAGGATTTGTTAGGCACCCTGTCCTTTTCCTGGGATCTAGAAGAACCTGGATATGTGGAGAGTAAAGGATGGGGGTAAGAGGCCGGGATAACTGCTTTATGGGGTTTGGGTATGGAAACAAAGCATAAAAGAGGCCAAGAGCATCAGTGTTCAAAGTAAAACCTGTCATGTGCACTTTAAAAACAGACTTTAGGAGTTAGCACAAATCTAATCAGACATACCCATTCTATACAAGTGAAACATACTAAATTCATCCTATAAAAGGTGGTCCTAAGAACATATCTTTTCTGACATCATTTTTTTTTTTTTTTGTAGTATTGGGATTTAAAGTCAGAGCTTCAAATTTGTTTGGGAGGAGAGCTACCACTTAAACTACATATCCAGCCCTTTATGCCCTGGTTATTTTTTATTTTATTTTTTTGTTGGTCCTGGGGCCTGAACTCTGAGCTTGGGCACTGTCCCTCAGCTCTTCAGCTCAAGGCTAGCACTCTACCACTTGAGTCATGGTGCCACTTCCAGCTTTTTCTACTTATGTGGTGCTGAGGAATGGAACCCAGGGCCTCATGCATGCAAGGCAAATACTCTACCACTGAACCACCTTCCCAGCTCCCCTGGTTATTTTTTTTAGATAGGGCTTTGTTTTTTGCCCAGGTTGGTGTGGACCTCAATCTTCATATTTACACTTCCCCCAATAGCTGGGATAAACAGGTGTGTGTTACTATGCCAAGTTTTTCTTGGTTAAGATAAGGTCTCACAAATCCTTTATCTGGAGTGGTCTCCTGGCCTCTATCTGAGAGTAGATAAGATTACCAGCACCAGGCCACAATCTCCTTGAGTTCACTCAGAGAAACCAAGTGGCCTCAGGGAAGTCCCCCTGTCTGACAGGACCCCGGAACATTTCCATGGTGCTTCAGTTTACCTATTTTAAACCTGGGATGTACAAACTCCATTCCAGCTCCGGCTGTCTTTTATCACACAAACCCCCCAACAGAAGTGGAAACAGCTGGACAATTGCCAATCAAAATGTCAAGGACAACCCCTGGGAGAACTTCATTAACCTTGGCCTCCAGCCCTGCTCTCACTCTACAGAAAGCTGGTGTCATCCCACATCTGTGACTGCCTGCCTCTGACTCCAGCATGAGGGGGAGACCAGGAACAGGGCAGGGACCTGTTTCTCTTACCATGATCTCACCCCTGAACTTCTCTCAGCTTTGTAAATGACTGCAGACCCTCCATAAGGGATAAGTACCAGATGATTGAGAGAAGGGGATATTTTTTCTTCTCAGGGGAAAGGTTTAGCTGGGTAAACCTAAACCCCAACTTCTGCCATTGTTTATAAAATGATTTAAAGCAAATGGTGTGCGGGGTGTAGGGTATGTGTGGATGTGTGTCGGGGTGCGGGTGTGTGTTGGAGGTGGAGGGAGCCTTTTGAATACAACTACCTACATTTCTGACCTTTGGTCTTTTTCCTATGTAGAGTCAGCAATCCATTTGTTTCATAAGGACTTTTGTCCCCTTCTCCTCCTTTCCCAAGCCCTGATTCTCCCATGGCTGGAGTTCCACTCTCCCTGTGACGTTTGTAAACTGATCATCAGGTACCTCCACGAAAGGGCTTCAAGCTAAGCTCCACGGGGGATGTTCTGGGCAGGGAACTTTCCCTTGGGGCCGTTTAGAGGTTGCACAGAAAATCTGAGCATTTTAGCTACTAAAAGACAATCCTCTGATAGTGGTTGACCCACGAGAGCTCTCTAGCACCCCAGAGGGGGAGCAGGATGTCAGAGGGACCTTTTCAAGCTTTCCAATCCCTCCCTGGCACAGAGCCCTTCTTGCATCCTCCCCCTACTCGTCATCCTGTAGTGGCGCTTGCTGCAGCCCTCCCTGGTTGCTTTATTTATTTATTTTGCACCAACAGGGTTGCGGCAGACTCATTCTTGCCTGGTTTGAAAAGAGAGAGAGAGAGAGAAAAAGGAGAAATGCTTCCTGGCTCTTTTCTCTCCCTCAGTCTTGGCAGCATTGGCTGCAGCCACAGCAGCGCAGCGGCTGGCTGGCTGGCCGGCTGGCGGCTGGCTGGCGGGTGGCAGGGAGTGGGGAGTCAGACACACAGGAGGGTGCAGGGGTTCTGAGGTGCAGCACGAATGGGACAGGCCCCCAACTCTGGACAGATGCAGTGCCCAACTTGATGCTACCCTCCAGCTTCTCTGGTAAGTGCCCCTACCCTCTGTCCTGAAGCCACAACTGCCCTTTGCCATAACATTCTCACAGACAAGGCCAGATTATGTGCCTATCAAGGAAAGAGGATTTGCCCTCCTGCCCGGGACAATCCCAAGACTAGCCCCCTACCCCAGGAATTTGATGGGAAAAATAAAATACCCCAGGGTGGAAGGACTCCAAGGAGATCCCCTTTCCTTCTTCCCACTTTTCCTCCACCTCTGGGAAGCACCCCCCTCTGTGTGGATATTCCAGAGATCTTTCCCAGGAGCCCACCTCCTCAAGGTCCCTATGCCTCTATCAGGTATGCTTTAAAGAGGACATCCATGTTTGCATGTGTCTCCAGACTGACACACAGAGATAAGAAGAAAGTTCCTGGTCCCTGAGGTCCCTGATACCCCAGACCCCACCCCATTGCAGGGAAGAAAGAAGGGCTTTTGATAGCTGTCTCTTCCTGCAAAGTGGCCAGATGCCAGTAGTGTAGCCACAGAGGATGGTAGGGATAGTTTGTGATAAAAATTAGCCACTTTAAAAATAAAAGAGGCCAGCCCTAGGTCCCCCAGTCCTTAACTCAGCAGGCTTTGGGGACTAAGAGGAAACTTACAGGAGCAGGAAGGAAGGAAGCTGGGTTCCACGCTTCATTGCACTTTTGCTGAATGCAGAACACACAAAGGGGAAAAAAAAAAAAAAAGGATGAGCAGGAACTGCAGCGGCAATGAAGAGCTAGCAGTCAGGTGGACTTCCCAGAATGGTTACAGGGAGGCTGGGACATGGACCTCCTTGGAGAACTCTTAGCACGCCACCGAGATACCTGTTAGGTTGGGATAGGGGCAAGAAGAGCCGTAGCCTTTGCCCCTTACCATTTTTTTCTCTTTCTTACCACTTCAGCTAAGCATGGTTTCCTGCATGCCTCATTCCAACCCCCCCACCCACCACTCTGCATCAGCCTCTTTCTTTAGTTGCTCAAATACTACAGTCCTGTGAATTGGCTAAAGGAAGAGGATGAAGTCACACCATCTCCTAAATTGCCTCTTCTGTGGTTCAGCATGGGAGAAAATGGGTCATGTAGCAGAAAGCTAACCCTCACAGGGCTAAGAAAGCCTCAAGTCCCAAAGCCTTGAGGTGATGAGATCTGTAGCCTGGGAGAAACTGAGGCATGCTGCCTCCAGGAGCACCAGTTGGCTCTTGCTCCTATTCTTTTGTCATCTCTTGTCACCTCCTCCAGGGTTGCACTTAATGGTTGGAGCCAAGAGGCTCTTACCTCTAGATAGCCCTCTTCCTCTATCACCTTGCCCAGCACTATCCTCTTGATAATTGCCCAGGCCCTTGGTACCCAGAAACCACTTTAGACAGGACCTATCTGTACACTGCCTGTGCCTAGATATCTGCTATGCAAACCTAGGGCTCCCTTTCATCCCAAGCTACCTCTCCTCCCTTATCTATGCCTCACTTGATCCCAATCTGTCTCTTATATATTCTCAGACAGTTAGGGCCAAAGAGATCAAGAGCTCTCCCTCAGAGCTACAAAACATCCTTAATACCTATATATCCCTACATAGGATACAGGGATATAAAAGAAGCCTAAAACCAAGGACCAAGCAACAGAATTAAAAACTTGAGCACCCTTTGGATCTTTCACACACCACAACTCCATCTGTAGGGGAAAAGGGAATGCCTGGAGGCTCTTGTAGGATTCTCAGCATCTCTATCAAGTGTCCCATGTACTCTATGCCATGGCCAATGTAGAGCTGTGCTGTCATCCACATAGAAACTAGATCTGCTAGTCCAGGGTGTGGGCTCTGGGCCAGGCTGGAGAGGGGGCAGAGTCTGGGGGTAGTGGGCATGTTCCCCAGACTCCGACAACTTAGTCAAAGAGAAGACCTCTCTCCAGTTAGGCCAGAAAGTTCTGGCCAAAGGCATGATCTCCCTGAGCCTTAGGCAAAACTGTGGGTTCAAATACTGGACAAACGGGTGGGTCGAAGGGAATAGAAAAGAATTTGTAGAGAGCAGATATCAAGAAGGGAGGGACCTGAGGTATGTCCAGATCTCACAGGTGCAGAAAAACCCATTACAGACTCAGCTACTTCCTTGTTGCTCTCCGTCCCATTCCCACAAAGCCTTCCCCATAGGAATCAAGATGACTAGGGTCCCACAAGCTAAACTCATGGCCATTTATCCAGGGAGGGAGTGAAATAGAGAAATTCTCCAAGAGGGAGCCCCAGGGAGGTGATGCACTTGAAGTCTTTCTTTATTCTGGTAATGCTGAGACAGATCACTTTTTCTCCCCTCTAAGGAGAACCAGGGAAGTCCAGGGATCACCATCATCTGAAGCTTCTTTTCCATCTTTCCAGGACTCAGGGGATGGACGCAGCCCTAATTCCAAAGCAAGCCTGGTCCCCATGGCACCCCCTGCTTCTCC